TTTTTTAGTGAACAAAGCATGACTCTCATCACGGTCTGACTTGACCAAGAGTGTTTTTTACTAAAAATGAGGTGTTTAATACACTTTTTTAAAATAATATGGTTCCAATCCAAAGCAGTTCGGTCCCATGTGGTGTTGACTACAAATGAGGGATTTGTTTTACTGAATTTGAATAAATGAATTTTATCAAACAATGTCTTCTTGTGTTAATATACCGTTTATTTTAAAATAAAATTACAGGGATGACAACAGTGGAAATGATTAGCCATATTAAAGATAACAAAGGTGAATGGACATGCAAAGTTAGAGTTGTTGAGAAGCGGAACATTAGAGACTCGAGGTCTAGTCCAAATAAGTATAGACCTTATGTATTGCAAGATCATGAAGTAAGTGTTTTTATATCATGAATGAACTAAACATAGAATATTACAAAACCAGGCTTTTGATTATGTTAATTTGATGTATTTATTTTAAAATAATAGGGCACGAAGGTTCTCACTATGGTGAATAGTGGAGGCATTGATCAAGTTAATCGAGTATTGGATATCCATAAAATATATAAAATAACAAATGCTGCTATGATGCCGACTAAATGCAATGTCCCATCACCATCTCCCCACTATAAATACATCTGGATGATTAGTAGACAAACATATATTGACCCAGTTCCAGATTTTGAACAGATTAAAAATACTAGATTAGGTAAAAGAGATGCTGACACCATTTAATGAGTTTTACGGCATTAGTACAAGTACAACCCGCATAAGTATGTCATTTAATTTCTTTTTCCTTATATAGATATACAGTTGTTTACTACCACTTTGCATCAGATATGTACTTTTGTATACAAATTTCATGGCCGTTGTCATAGAAAAATACCGAGAGAGTACATCTCAGTTGGATTCACAGGAAAAAATAGCACATGATTTCACCATTTTTGATGAGGAGTAAGTAATCCGCATGAAAAAATATTTAAAGATACAAAGAAATAACATTTTGAATGATTGGTTGAATAGAATGAAGCTTATGCTGCTTACACTGTGGGAAGAGTTTGCAACGAACCAAGGGAAGGAAATCACGTCCCTTTTAGAAACTAGGCATTTCCAAATAATTATTCTAAAAAGGGTTAATTTTACTGCCTTTAATGGTAATATATTATTTAGCAAAGTTTATATACATAGAAAGAGAATTATTGAATTAACTGACAATAAGTTGATGTGGATTTCTAACAGGTGTTTCTCTGTCTTCTCGATTTGATGCAATGTTTGAAGTGCACCCTGCTCATACAACATTTGAATCCCTTAAGAAATGGTATGAACATACTCTTATGTTAAGAATAAATAGTAGAAATCACATTCATTTGAATGTAATACTTATAATAACTCTATAATAGGCGAGATGACAGCATAGACCTTTTCAAGAGGGTCATTGGCCTGAAGGCATATAAAGATGCTCTAATTGCACTGCCCAAAGTTAAAACTTTCTGAGGTTTGCCAAGTGAATACCCAGGTATGCACCATGGTTGAGCATCGAATGACTGAAATTAGATATACATTATATTTTCTCGTGTGGATTAAGTTTTAAATTTCACACTCCAAATTTAAGGCAAAGGAGTTTGGGTTACAGTAGATATGAGAATTCTCGATGATGAACCAAATTCCTACATTAGCTATGACTATTGTAATAAAAAAGTTTGTGGACCACGTGGTGAGAAGAAGTGAGAATTCTCGATGATGAAAAGTTTGACGCTTAAAGAGAAAGGAGTATGATCACATGAGGCATTAAATGGTTATGGAAACCATGGTCGGTCTAAACATAATATGTGCTAGAAGTAAATAATATTTGATAATAAATAATACTCCCTCCGTCCGGAAATGATGTTCCCATTGTACGTTTTTTTCCGTCCAGAAATGATGTTCCCATTCTACTTTTTATAACATTTTTTCCTAAACTACCCCTCCCATTAAATCTCTTTTCTTCTTTCGTTACCCATTTTCTCCGCCACCCACATCAATTGATTCATCTGTCTCCCTCTCCCACTTGTTCTCCCCCCTCCTCCCCGATCTTCTTTTTCTCCTCCTCTTCTTCTCTTTTTCTTTTTCTCCTCCTCTTCTTCTCTTTTTCTTTTTCTCCTCCCTAACCTTCTTTCTCCATGTCCTCCTACACCTGCTTCTTTTTTTCTTCCCCCTCCTAGATCTGTTCTAGATCTATGGTCTAGCGGCGATGGTGGACCCGATGGCGGCGGCAAGAGCTATGGCAGGGGTGGATCTACAGTAGATCTATGCTAGATTTGTGGATTCTCTGTTTAATCTTCTTTTTCTCATCTTTCTCCTCTCCGTTTTCTCTCTTTCTCATAGAGATTGTGCGATGGAGGTGGGGGCTGACGGAGGTGGTGCAGCTGTGGGGCGATTCTGGTGTTGGC